GTGCTATATGGTTTCCTAGTATCACACCAGAACTCTAGTCCACAGTAACTCAAGAGCAAGCAATAAAGTGAGGTAACTTGATACTGTTTGGCTTCCTTCCACTGACATGTTTAAGGCGTAAGTGTTTAAACTTGAGCAATACTTATGCACCTATTTGAAAGAGGGTGGGATAAATTGGGTATACATCATTGGAATTGCTCTGGAATTTATTGCAAACTTGCTAGAGGTATGAAAGATTTAATCTAACACTCTGAGTTACACCAAATTGGTACCATTTTAGGTGAGATCAAAATCTGACTCTTAAGTGGATAATGGTATCATTTATTTTTGGTTTTCATGGTAACCCAGTTTGACTCACTATGGCAACAACAGTGGGACTTAATGTAGTGAAGATTAATCATTCTCTCAGGCAAGGCACTTCTTCGGTGGGTCATCTCACTTTGGAGCAATTAAACTGTTCAAAAGGGGCTTGGGTCAAATGCAAAATTTGAGGTGCCCCATCACTGCTACTACAATATACTGCATCTTATTCAATGCAGATTTAATCACCAGCTGAAGTTTCTCACCTCCTTCCTGTATGAGCAGGGCAAATCTCTGTGTTCTTCTCCAAGTCTTTCTCATTTCATTTTCATTTATTGTTGCTAAAAGAAACATAGTTTACAAGAATGTAGAAATACAGGTTTTTAGCTAAGTTCAATAACCAACATGGTTCCTTAAAGTAGTAAACTCCTTACATGTTGTTTTGATGCAAAATGTGAGCAGAGCATAACATGTTGCTGGGAAGGAGTTATAGAATCATCTCGGTTGGAAGACATCTTCAAGATCATCAAATCCATAACCATAAATGGGGTCTACTGAGTCCTATCACTAAGTCATATTCCATAGTGCCATGTCCACTTCCTTGTGTGATCATGATCACCCTTTCCATGAAGAAAATCTTCCTAATATCCTGTATTAATCCCTCCTAGTGCAACTTTGAACCATAAGTCCTATCACTTGTTACCTGAGGAAAAAAAACTGGATTCCAAGGAGTTTTTAATTAAAGCCAAATAAAGATATGAGATGCTCCTTATTTTTCACATTTACTGATTAAGAAAGATACCTATGGGAAGAGGTTGCATTTTCAAAGAGCTGCATTGAACAGTCTGCCCTTTAAAAATAGTGCCCATCTCATTTTTTTATTTAAAAATCAAATTAGCCTTTTAAGCTATTAAAAGAATTGACCTTAACTGCACTAATGCAATCATCTCACCATATTCCCATCATACAAATTAGCCTAGAGGAAGAGCAATTGTCATCCCAGAACTTTGCTTAATTATTGCCTGATTGCTTCTTCAACCTTCTTTCTTTAAAATCATCCTTCCTTCTTTCTTCTCATGTTTTCCTACCTTGTCCCATGAAAACTACCATCATCCACTGCAAGTGGACTCTCCAGTAACTTTTCCCTCACCTGGGTAGTATTTACTTTGCCAGTGTAGCTGTGCCATGGGTCTTGGAATTCCCATAGGCAAGAGTCTGATCATCAGCAAAATGGAGTATGGAGAGACCTCTGGAAGTGTTCCCCTTAAAAGCGGGCTTCCAGTGCTGTGCTCAGATTAAACCTATCTGAATTGCCACTCTTTTTGCAGTTGCACTGATTATTCATTAAGAGACACAGCTACTCTTTCTCCAGCTAGCACAGTCAGCCTGCCATAATTGTACTAGGCTTTCTTTAATTTTCTTGGTGACCTGGGTTTGCTGCTTATTTTCTTGGCACAACAGAGGAAACAGAGTAATTTATTTAATCCCATGGGCAATTCAGGGACTGCCTGGACTAGCAGCAGAAAAGAAGGAACTACCCCTGTCCACTCACCAAGAGCAATTGGTTCAGCAAAGTGTGGGATGGGAATCTGCCATGGTGGGAGCCGAAGTACTGTATTGTCCTCCAATCCTGTAAGAAAATATCTGTGAGTTACAAAGTTTCCTAAGTGATTCTGGCAGCCTGCTTGGAGTTGTGTCTTGGACTTGTAGCTAGTATGTTTTCATTAAATAGTATTATCTAATGGATTGCAGCCTGGATTGGAAAATGCTCTCCTGCATGGGAAGTGTGTCCTGCAGTCATGCAGGATTTGGAGTTGCTCTGCTAGGAGCTACAAAGCAGGAAGGAGGGCCTGACCTCTGCCCTGAGCAGCTTTCAGAGTAGTTGAAGTGCAGCAGGAAATGTATACTGGGAAGAAAGTTGATATATGCTGGAGTTGCAGAATTCAAGAAACACCTCTGATGATGGACCTGTCTGGAGCACAGTACTGGAACTTCAGCAAATTCACAATTTTCTAAATGTTTTAAGAATGAAATAGCTTAGCAATAAAGGACAGTTGTGAAATTTGTAGATGTAATTTGGAAAACTGAATTTTTAACTGCTCCTTTAAGCTGTTTTTAAGGAGTAACTAAATTATTTGAACTAAACCACTGTAACTTCAATGGCTAACTGTATCTTAAGACATTAATTTTTGGCAGTTGAGTAAGTCACATATCCCTGCTTTCAATTAAATTCTAAACATTCACCTTGAATTATTGCACAGTCTACTTCTAAAAACATTTCCTTTCTTTGGGGCTAAGAAGAATGCCTTCAAATCCACTGACAAGTAGATGTTTACTGTTTCTGATGATTTCAGGTTTAATTATGACCCTTCAGAGTTGTTTCTATATTTGCTGTGGACTAATTGGTCAACATTTCTCATTGTTTTTATTGGGAAGTAAGGGCTGCTGTACCTGTCTCATTCTTGTACCTGATTTATGTTCCTGCTGTTGCTTTGCCTGTTATTCTGTATCTCAGATCTTAATTTAATGCAAACCTTATGTGCCTCATGTGATGGAAGCATAGATGTAATATTTCCCCATGTTTGCAAATTATTGTGAGCTTAATAGATAGTTGGCAATGCTGAAGACCTGTTTGTTAGGGCTATCATGCACTGAAGACTAGGGTGATCAAATATGCTATTGTGGGTTTCAGAGCCATGGAAAATGCTGTTGAGTTATTCTTTATGAAATCATAGTTTGCTTTCTTGTGGGAATTGTGGCAGAGGTAGAGTTTATGGAGCAGTTAGAATTGGAATTTTAAGAGCAGGTAGAGGCTGGGAAATCTGAAACAGGGCACTTAAGGAATGGCGTAGGAAGGAGGTGATCAAATAGCTTGTTACGGGCAGTGTCATTAGTAGACAATTCCTAGATTTTGATCTTGTCTCCCCACCTAGCGCTGATTTATGAAGTGGATTTATGATTTTATCACCTCAAAGGGGTATCTTGTATCTAATCTCATGCTAAATGATTTGCAAACCTAATCAGTACTTGCACAGAAGCCTTCAGAGGGCAGCCTTCATGTTACAGGAAGGATTTGGTGCATCACCAGATGGTGCCCTTCTGTATCAGGCAGCAAGAGATAGCTGCCCAAATGCAACATGAGACAGCATGTTCCTGGATGAGAGCTGGAAGAGAGATGTATTCTCTGTGGATTAATGTTCTAGCACTTCTGATTGTTTTTGTTGAGATAGAGCACCCACATTTGGAGCAGAACTCTGGTCTGGATTCATTGCTTTTGTTTTCATCTTTGTTTGAATTGAGCATCACATGTTGTATTTCTTGTTTTGAATTGCAGTATGTACTGAAACATCTCTCTGTAAACTAAAAGCAGCAATCTATGTCAACAGTCGTCTCACAGTGACTAAAACAATACAATGCAACATTGGTAGGGATGAACATTTAACTGTTGTGTGATCAGTATTTAAATGCTATGAACATGAAGAAGTTTTTAGAATAATTTGCTGTAGAATTACAGTGAGTGGCTATCAAATATTAATGGATGGAAAGCATACGTTCTGCAAACTAGCTTCATATCAAGCATCATTTAAATTAAAGCCATTTGCAATTTTTAAAGTCATATTTAGAAAATGAGCCCTCATTAAAAGATTTTTTTTTTTTAATTGAGTTTTGATTTGGTTCCTTTTTTAATTGATAAATTAAGAGGAAAGAAGATGTTAATGGAATTATTTGCAGACTTCTAATGACACAAATGCTAGAAGGCTAACCTCCAATAATTACTGTTATTACAAGTAACATACACATTTCTGGTCAAGAACATATTGCAGAAAAGCTCTTTCTAGTACTGTTATTCTCTGTACATTGAGGAGGAGAGAGAAAAAGGGTGGAAATCACATTCTGTAATTCCCCAAGGTGATAGCACCAAGCTCAATTTTTGATGTGCTGCAGCTTGTAGCAGACCCTGAGCAGATTTAATCTGAATGTTGATGGCTGTAATGGCAGAATTGTGCCAATGTCATTGTGAGAAGGAGCTCCAAATGGATGACACTCATATGGTTAATCTATTTTTAAAAGAAAATCTTCTTTAACTCTCCATATATCAGATTTGCCACTTTCCTATAGAGTTCAGTTACATTTGGAGCTGAAAACCTGGTAATGTTTGAAAGATGCATTCTATGTTTTACAGCCTGCAGTGAAGGATTCTTAACCTTTTCTTTCTGGTTGCTCTGATATTTTCTCCCCAAATCAAAATCAATTTCAATTGATCCCTCTATCATGCTTTTGAACTCATTCGAGGTGCCTCCTGTTGGAATCTGCTATTTGTGTGAAATCAGCTGCCACTGTTTTCAGGTTATACAAGGAGCTTATAAGAGGAGGATGATCATGTAGAAGATTCCAGATTTCGGACTCCCATTCCCCAAAATTCATTTATAGGAATGTAAATATTTAATGCCTGTCAGGCTCCAATAGCTAAACTACACTTCAAAACAAATTGAATAGCAAGGATCCAATAATCTTAATACACCAGCAACTTCTATGAAAATTTATCTTCTATTTGGTCATAAGGGACACTGACAGATCTCCGTGTGCTTAACCCCAGCAAACAGAAGGCAATGTCTCTGCAGCTGCTTCGTCCTCACCCCAAGGTTTGCTCTTTGCTGCCAAGACAGGACAGGTAATTGGATGTTCTTCTCTTCTGGCAGGTACTGGACTGGATTGAAAATCATGGAGAAGCCTTTCTGAGTAAACACACGGGAGTGGGGAAGTCTCTGCACAGAGCACGCGCACTGCAGAAAAGACACGATGACTTTGAAGAGGTAGCGCAGGTAAGAGTCTGAAATACATTGGGGAAAAAAAAAAAACAAAACAACTACTGGTATTTTGGGAGCTTTGTAAATTCATGCCGCTGTCTTCAAACATCTGGAGCTGACCAGGATCCAGTGTCATAGCTCTGAAGGTTTGCATGCACACTGTGAGAGCATGGTTGGTAGCAGCAGGAATTAGCACTGGAAAATCACCACAGTGGGTCTCTGCAAGTACAGTATGTCGCGTAGGAGGTTTTTTTATTTGCTTCAGAATTAGAAAGGCAATTATTACAGGTAGCTATTATTAGTAGTACAGAATTATTATGTTACAGTTGTTATTATATTTTGGCATGGAGGCAAAATTTCTTCCCAAAAGCTCATAACTCCTTTTTGAAACATGCTCATAGCTGATGTTTAAACATATATCCAGTCTTTTCTTACAGAATGAAATGAAAGGGGGACCTTGATAACTTCTTCCAGGGACTGATTAGCTTCTTTTTTTTTTTTCCTTTTTTCTTCTTCTTTTTTTTTTTTTTCCTTGGCTTATGACCAGCCATTATCCATTCTCAGCTCTCCCTGTCAGATCATGTTACACTTTTTGTCTTAGGCTGAAGTAGTATCTTTGAGAAATTGGTCTCCAGTGAAGGTACCTCTGTATTGGGTGTATTCAGATAAAATTCTGATTGATAAACTCTGCTTTAGATAGGGTAAGTGCTTTGCCTTCTTGGTACACTTAGGCAGGTTTTTGCTTACGTAGTTCACTATGGCATAAGACAAAAATTTATTAGATTTCAGTTTTGTTTTTCCACGATAACTTTCCCATGTGTTGGCCTAGTTTAGTTTTAGATGTTCCAGCAGCAGGGACATAGCTCTTTTACTGCACTCCAAGGGAAGCTATTTCACTGTCTGACAGCAGCTACTGGCAAGATTATTATTATTTTTCCTCTCCCTATATTCAATTTATATATACATACATATATATAAAGCCACAGTGTGTATCCCCTATGTCTTGTTTATTTCCCTTAAGAAGGTAAATGCCAAGGAAGGAGATGAAATAACAGTCCTGAAATATCTGTTGAATGTTAGCATGCCTCCCTTAAGTGCCCCTTAGCCAAGTTAAGCATATTTAAATTTGCTAATATGTTCTTATTAAACACTCCTTTGTTAACCATTTCTTTGAATCCATTCAGTTTGCCAACATCCTTCTTTTAATTAATATTCAATTATCAATGGAATACTCACATTCCTTGGCTTGCACACCTTTCAGCTGCAATGAGACATCATTGCATACCATTGACAAATCATACAGTCTGAAAGCAGCAGTTCTAGATTGACAAATCTCTAAAATGTTCTGGGGCCTCCCATGCCTTTCAGACTCCTGACAATAGGTTTGAATTTCTAGAGTTGCTTTTTTCAAATTTATTAAAATGTGCATTCATCTGGAGGTTGCAAACCACGTTCTTAAAGGGGTCATCCAAAAATGTGAGTTAGTAGGAAGTTTCAGCCTGAAATCAACATTAGGTGCCTTTCCAGAGGATATGAGTTAAATAGCTGTTATTAGATCCAGTGCTAAGGGTAACTGAATAAAAAAGGTCTAATAATATGCAGGAGCCAAAACTAGGTGATCTAGTGTCCTTTGTGATATTAATGTTCTCTGAATTTCCCTCCTCTATGATGTATTAGCATCACAGCTCCAGCTCTGTCTCACATTGCTGGATTAGTTTGCTCTTTTTTTTCCTTTTTTTCCCTCACTGGACATACAGGAAACAAATGAAGAACAGGTGAGGAAAGACAGAAGAATAAGTGGTCTTGATGATGAAAGCACATCAAAAAAAGCTGAATAAAGGCTTGCTCCACTGGTTGATGTTATTTAGAGATCTGTCTGTATGTAGGTATTAGGGTAAGCCAGAAAAGAATTGCTCCACCAGGAAGTTTTCTGATTCCCTCCTGTTAATCCTGCTCCTAAAATATTTCAGACAGTTTGCCTGTTAATAACTTTAGATATATTTCAATTCACTTCATATAGCCAAATTCTGAGTGGCGTAAAGGATGTACAAATGCAGTTCACTGGATGGAGTCCATGGGTTCCAATGGAGGAGGGTGTTTCAGGGGAGGATGGAGAGAGAGAAAAATTGCATGAGTGTATAATCTCTTATAGGTTCCTCTGAATTTGATTTCTTCACTTCTGTGATCATCTCACTTTTACTCTTACAAAGCATCTTGTTTCTCTGCTTGGAAATTGTAAGCAGTTCTGTGCTCTGAGTCTGAAATTTATGATATTTGCTAATTAAAAATAACTGACAGAAGTCAAGCTCAGCTACCTTTCCCCAGCTTTGATTGAAAGAGTTCCTGGGCCCTTCCTCCCATGCATTCTCACTGCCGGATTGCCGTTGCTAATTTATGAAGCCTGTCTGCAGTGTGACACTGGAATGTGATGCTGGCAAATGGACATGGGGACATGAGCAGGGGGGAAGTGAAAGGAATGTCAGGCTTTATCCCAGGTCAAGGACTTGAGAATATAATACTCTTTGCTTTCAAAAGAATAATAGCAAGAGTAAGAGGGAAGGTCATAAATTTATCACACCTGGGATTCTACAGCAGAAGCTGCTAGGGAGGTCCATTTTGTAGTTGGGGAATAGATCTCCTCCCAGCTCTGACTGTGACCAGTTTTTACTCTTCCCAATTCCCTTCCTTCTAATGCTTAACTCTTTACAGCTGCTCAGCTATTAGTTCATTTTAACTTCAGTATAATTTTACTTTTTTTTCCTTCAGATAGCAAATACCTTTGCCCTAGGTAGGGTAGATAGCTGGCATCATTTATTCCTGATAGAGCCAAGTAACAAAGCACAGGTGCTAAGATCCTCAAACAAAGGACTGAAGATTTTGCGCATTCCCCTCATTTGGATGTTAATTACTGTCTGCTAATGATAATGAAAACAGGTGGTTTTTAAAAGAGTGTAATGCTGACATACCTAGTGAGACTGACAGTACAAGTGTTCTTGCTTCTGGCAGTTCTCTGACCAAAAAAAAAAAAAACAAAAAAAAAAACCCAACAAAAACATACAGTACAAATTTATTCCCCAACATCTACCTTCTTTTGTTTCCGACATATTTACTCTTATCTCCTGCTGTTTGAGGAAGGCATTTGCAAAGGTCACGCTAGAAGCAATTTTCATGAGTTTTTGTGATATTTGCAACCACGGGCAAAAAGTTCATGTTTTTGAATGCTACATGCAAAGAAGAGAAGTGTATCTGGGATTGCCGTGCTGAGAAATGCGCTGATTGACTGACCTTCCAAGGCACGAGATGGAGAGGTGGAACCCATTCCCTCTCTGTCTGATTAGAATCTTCACAGATTTATAAATCTGGATGTAACAATCCAATCAGGCATGGCCCAAATAGATCACCTTCCTGCACAGAAAAGCTATGCTTGGAAAATGTCAGTGATTTTAGAGCACTTCATTGTGGGCAATAGGAAATATAATGTGGGGTCCCCTTCTGTCAGAACTGCTGCTTAGACAACACTCTGGCAATTTCTTTACTCTGTTTGTTCTACATGGCAGGCACAGATGGGGAAGGTTTTTGTTTTTTTTTTTAATTTGGATTAGAAAGCTGGAGCTGCTGGGAGGGAGTTTTGTGTCTTATATATATATACCTGTGAGTGCTTCTTTGCCAGTGCTGATGCTGTTCTTGGGCTGTACCCTGACCACACCAGGTGTGTGGGCACTGTGCCTCCTGCACAGGGAAACTGATTGCTGATGAGGAGGGTATCAAAATAGCAACCAAAGAAACACTGCCCTTCCTGCAATTACAGCTTGTCTAGGATTGCTTTATGCAAATCAAATGGATGTAGTTTGCCCAATTATGGTTGTAAATCCAAATATAATTTCATTTTAGCCTCTCTAACTTTCCCTTATTCATTCCTTTCGCCCAGTGTGCTTTCCAGTGGAAAAATTATGTTAACAGAGTGCACCCCCAAATCCCTCAACACTTCAGCACTATTGAGTTGAGCTCTGTGAGTTGGAAACCCTTCTCCCCTTCTCTGTATGCGAAAGAGGGGCTGCAGACTGTTCTCCCTTCTGGCATTCCCTGGAACCAGAGGTTACAATGGCCTCATCTCTGCGCACTGAGGGCATAGCTGCATTTTTGCAGGCATAGAATGTGGAAAGCCAATGGGGAAACAGCTCCAGTTACCCCTATGCTCTGCTTCCAGTCCGAGCGCTTTGGGATTTGAATGCTTCGCAGCAAAGGGTTCTGTAGTACTTCTGCGTTTAGCAGCTTTTCAATAGAGCAGTTCATCGTGCATTCTGCAGGAGGAGGCCCACCACTACGTGCTGCAGCCTGCAGATGGCACTCACTGTGCGTCATAAGAGACCTCAGCTCTGCTAATGTGGTTTTGTATTTAGTACCTGTGTGCATCTTGCATGCAGTAGTTAATTTATTTTTTGCAGCAAACCAAAGGCACTGATGGTTACAAGGTAGATTCTGCAACTGTGCGTGTGACAAAGCACTTGTTCTGGATAGCCTGTTTGAAATATATGGAGCCGTTCTCATTATGAAACACAGTGAGAAAGTAGACTGAAGGCTGGGCTGAGCATCAAAGGGCATGGAGCTTATCTGTGTGACCAGAGGCAACTCTTGGCTCTGGCCTCACTGCTAAAACAGCTTCAGTTTAGGTACATACCTGTTCTTGGGTAGCTGTGCCTGCCTTCCTCCAAGAGAATCTTTGGATGATAATTAAACACCTGGAAACAGGTTTTGAACCATCAAAGATGATCTCATGTAGATATGTAATATTCCTTTGAGAATCAGCTCTTCTATTCTTGGGGAAATAAATATATTTCCTATGAGGGAAAGATTTCAGAGGATATACTGAAAGCCAGCGGTCTGTATCCTCTACTGGAAATCAAAACTAAAGAATCATAGAATGGCTTGGGTTGGAAAGGACCTTAAAGATCATCAAGCTCGAGCCCCCATGCTTTGGGCAGGATTGCCACCCACTGATCAGGTTGCCCAGAGCT